AGTTTATTAAATGCAAACTTATTAATATCAAACTACAGTCTATTGAATAGTGAATAAGGAAGTAAAACAGCTTTCATACATTAGATTATAAAGTATTTCTCCCACCTTCTTAGCGTGCCTTCGTGGTGTAGTGGTCTGCCCGCTGGGCGCGTATTCCAGAGGTCCGCGGCTCGATTTCAGGCGAAGGCGTTGCTCATTTTTCCTCTTCCCTGCTTTCAAATAACCTAACTTTACGCCCGAACTAAAAGGGTGGTGGATGATGATTCTCCACACCAGGATTTGGCGACTGGGTCCCTTAAAAACCCCAATCGCCCTTTAAAAGGGGGAGTATATAAGGTATTTCTCCCGCCTTCTTAGCATGCCTTCATGATGTGGTGGTCTGCACGTTAGGCGCGTATTTAGAGGTCCATGGTTCAATTCCCCGTCAGAGCGTTGCTCATTTTTCATCACTCCTCCTTCCAAAGAATACCTAATGTCTCACCAGACTATTATTTAAGTATTACCTCTCTTTGGTTTAGCCTGTTTCTTAACATGTTATTAAATTTTAAATATCCAATTTTTAAAACTTTACGCAGCACTTAACATAAATTAAGAGATACCATATACGATTATATATCAATGATTATTTTAAAATATCTTATTTTAGCCAAAAATGGTTATTAGTCTAGAAACACATTTTGGGTTGATTTATCTTAAAAGTTGCTAACGTTGCTAAAAATACGTTGTTTCCCTTTTCATTGAAGTCTGTTGCCATTTGACTGTCTTAAGAATATTATTTTTTCCTTTTGAATCGTATTGGTTTAAATAAAAATGCACTTAATTCATGATACATCTACTTAAAAATATTAAATATTTTTATAGAATGACGTTATATAATTTTCACTTCTCAAACATACAGAATATTTATAACGTTTCCTTGTTAGTCTAAGTGTATATTCATTTAGTATTCTATAAAGTATTTCGCTATGCCACTTGAGCCCTCTCTAATGAAAGTGTTTATTGACAAACCGTATTAAACTTTAAAACAGCCCTTCTGAACGACTATAAGAATATGATCGCTTTTAGACTTCTTTTAACCTCGATTTATTTTTTAAATTTTATTAAACATTAAGCATCCAAATTCCAAATTTTTATACTCTGGTTAAATACGAATGAAAGTTACTACGAGAGTAAACATATTAGTGGCTTTTAAAAGCTTTTCTTCGTTTCCTTCAAGTTACTTCTTAATTTACACTCATGCGGAATTCGAACTCTAAAATAAATATATCACCTGTAAAATCACTACACACATCTTCAAGCATCATATGCAAATTTCAGGAAGTAACCAGATGACACCGATGGTACGTCACAATGACGAGAGTGTAAGAGAGTGATATATAAAGAATACAGGCAAAGAAGTAAAATTGTTCGCAGGCGGTTTATAAGCATTTCAGTGCAATAACGGAATAGTTATGACACAAAGGACGCATTTGGATGATTTTGTACGTGGTAGAATTATCGGCCGTCTGAAATGTGGGCTTACCCAACTGGAAGTATCAGACAAACTTGGAATCGCCCACAGTGTCATCTCCAGGCTTTGGCAACGATTCCAAGATGATGGTAATGTAAGTAGACGTTACAGCACAGGTCGCTCCAGAGTTACAACGCCGAATGAGGACCGGTATTTGGCAGATACTGCTAAAAGAAACAGGCGGAGCACAGCCTCAGACCTGTCTCGTCAGCTCTCTTCAGCCACTGGTACGACAATTTCAAGGCAGACCGTGTACAGACGCTTAGCACAGATTGGTCTATATGTTCGTAGACCTGTCAGATGCGTTCCACTTACTGGAACTCACTGTCTCCTGCGGTTAGTCTGGAGTAGAAAGCATGCATTGTGGACACCGAAACAATGGGCTTGTGTGATGTTTTCCGACGAGTCCAAGTTGCAGTCTGATTCTCGCCGGACTTTCATATGGAGAGCTCCAGGTACCCGTTACCACCAAGAAAACATCATTGAACGACACCGTTACGGTGGTGCAGGAGTGCTCGTTTGGGGTGGAATTATTCTGAGTTCAAATTGGAACCATGACACACCAAATTTATCGGGACGTCATTCTGGAACAACATGTTCGTTTGTTTCGGGGCGCCATGGGCGCACAATTTGTGTTTATGGATAACAACGCCCGACCTCACCGTGTAAACATCGTAAGCGAATGCCTTCAATCGGAGGATATCACCCGTATGGACTGGCCAGCATTCTCATCGGACTTATATCCAGTAGAGCACGTGTCGGACATGCTTGGCGGACGAGTTGCAGCCCGTCAACCTCCACCTACGTGTCTATCGGAACTTCGGAGAAAATTGCTTTTTGAGTGGTGTAATATCCCCCAAGATCAGATCGATAATTTGATACTCAGCATGCCTAGGCGTTGTACGTACTGTATTGTATCGTCTGGGAGACATACAATGTATTAACAATCATACCAACCATGTAATATTGTTTTTTTTGTAAATAGCTCTTTATTTATTTATTTATTTATTTTTTTTTTTTTTGTAATTTGCTCCAGGGAGGAAAAATTGCTAATTTTTATAATAATATCAATAGCATCTTTTTTTGCTCTTTACCTTTTGTTTAATAAATAAGCTTTACAAATAAGTCAAATTTGTTTTGCTTCTAACTCTTCCTTTGCCTGATTTGCATTATCCTTAATTTATGGACATGAGTGTAGTATTAAATTTTAAACAGTTTGATTTCAAATTCTTATGAACATTGAAATATATATATTTCAATAATTATAATTATAATCTACATATAGATTAAAAAATTATTGATTGGTATGAGTTAAAATAATACACTGAATGACGACTATTAGAAGAGTTGAAGCAACAGAAATCAGCGCAATATTCATAAATTTTCAGGACTAGTTTAAGATTTAAGTATAGAACATGCTTCTTCAGCTGCAAAATTTCAAATGACGAAAGGAAAGCTAATAATAAGATAAGGCAATAATATTTTGTACAGCTACAGCTTAAGAAGCGGAATTCTACAGTTATAAGAAAAATAGTCCATATTTAAACCCAGGTTTTAACATCGGAAACATTCCTGCAAATTTATGAATATTACTCTGATGCTTGCTGCTTTAACTCCTTCAATAATTATTGATGGATTAAAAAAGTATTTGATTGATATTTGAAATATTCCGAATCCAAGAGTAGTTGTAGGTTTTACTAGTAAAAAAAAAATTACTAGAATTTAGAACAATTTTTGTGCAAAGAAATAACAATTGTTTTATTTAAAAAAGTTAAACTGCTTTATTTTTTTGTTAAATAATTTTATTTTGTTAAAAAATAAGCATTATTTAACCCTTGCGCATGATATTCCTTTAATTACAGAATAGCATATCACTGTGAAATTTATACAAAAATTATTTAACCTACTGGGCAAAAATAATTGTATCCAAGCTATACCAAAACAAAACAAAGCAAAACAAAACAAAAAAAGTGCTTGCTGAATCAGATGTTCAATTAAAAAATAAAAAAGAAATAAATAAAAAATAAAAAAAAACACTGAAAGGTTTCAGATTTTAAATTACGTCCAAAGGGCCGCTTTTTTAACCTTTTGTACGTTACCTTTATTTATTAAATATCACGTTATTTTCATTTAAAGCATAAAATTCAATTCAACAGCAATATCGCAAAGTAATTTTAAAATGAGCCTATCTTAGAATTTCCGATACACAGTCTCGCGCGCTGGAGATAAAAATGTTTTGCTTTTCCGTACAGTGTTGCCGTTACTCGCTTTGAAAACTTTTTGATGAAAAATTCGTTAAAGTTTTACAAAATATGAAATACGTAATAAAATAAATTCCAATTTTGGGCTTTCAGATGCCCATATTCGGATGAAAACGTACGTTATTCAAAAATTTGATGGCTCTAGGCGCCGTCGTTTTATCCCAATGGGAGAAACATACATACATATACGCAGATTCTTCATTATTTAATTTCTTTAAGTATAATACAGGGCGATAATATTTGGTGGCAACAGTTTGAAAAGTGAATCGGACATTTATAAGGAACCAACGCAAAATGACAAAACGAAATTAATAGTCCTTCTGGGCAAATTGCTCCTTTGGACTAACAAGCAAATAAATGCACATTTGCGCATGTACAAGTAACTCACTATACTTTCTAAGAGCGGTAAATTCGAGTTATATCACAGAATACAATAACTGGCTGTGAAAGAAAAAGCCGTCTATCTCATTTGTTGTGATTAATGTCTGTTCAATATTTTGCGACAGAATTATTGAAAGATAAATTAAATTTTGCAATCCGAACGAAAGATAACTGACTGAAAGATAAAAAGTATCCTCCAAATTCATATAAAACTGATTTCAGAAACTAAAATCTTATGCTGAAAGATAAAAAGTATCCTCCAAATTCATATAAAACTGATTTCAGAAACTAAAATCTTATGCTGAAAGATAAAAAGTATCCTCCAAATTCATATAAAACTGATTTCGGAAACTAAAATATTATGCTGAAAAAAAGATCTTTTCTCTGGCGACCATTTTTTTAAAAATTCAGTTTGCGAAATGGCGACTTATATTTCTGATAACTATAAATTATTAATTACTTAACACTTGCTTTCAAAAAATTGCTAAATCAAAATACATTTTATTTTTTATTAGCAGATTGTCGAAGCTCTTAGAAGTGTAGTTATTTAAGAATGAAAATTTTTAGTTCTTTTGCGCAAGGAGAAATGCATAAACAATATGTGATAAAACTAATATATAATTTTAAAAAATAGAGCTTTACAATGCAATATAATATTAAAAAATTTAAATAAAATTCTCCGCTGTTGAACAGAATTTAATAGCAGTTCTTCTGCAGTTTAATAAATGTTTAATTTTGAGATTAATCTGCATTTAGCTTGCTTGAAATACATGCATTCGAACAATATCCGATTATGATTGCGAGCAAAGGAAATAACGTTGCAGCAAGCTGAGTTTAGTTGTACTTACTAAATGCGAATTGTATGCGAAGCTTTTTCAACAAGTGGCTGACGAGCTTCTGAAGTGGTCCCTCCTCCGGCGACTGAACAAGAGAGGTGCGAGCAAGCGGATGAGGATGCCGGTACCCGACCTTGATATTTATTGATCGCCACCAACAGAGGTCTCGCCAAACGTCCATCTGGAATTTAATCGTCGTCTGAACAATTGTTCTTTCCATCTCAATACTCAGAAAACCAGCCGCAGAGCTCTCCATGCTCTCCGCGAGTTTCTGGCTGGCAATGTTTTTGCGCAAACCGAAAACACTCTTTTATTCAGTCATTTTACATACCGTGAAGGAGATTAGATGTTATTGGGTAACTTTATTACCATAAAAGGATTTCATCAAAGAAACTGGAATAGATTGCCTTTCACAAACTGGCTTTAGCAACACGAATTAGAGACCTTTCATATGTTTTTAACGGTACATCATAAGTGTTAAGTCAAAAGAAAGAATTTTCTGCCTTTCCACATATTTTAGCCCAAAAGGGAATCTTAGTCTCGAAAGGAGATTGTGGTTTACTGTAAAAGGCTTATCACTTTCAAATTGTTGCCACCAAATATTATTGCCCTGTATTATTTTTAAAGAAATTAAAATAATAAAGAAATCTGCATATATATATATGCATATATATATGCAGATATATATATATATATATATATACCATGTGGGCATAATTAAACTGACAGTGCTCACAGTGTTCTGTAGCGCGATCTATTTGCGAGAATGATGCCACATTTAGTAGGAAGATTAAACAAGACGGGGGACGGAGGATTCCGCGAAAAAAAATTAGTTCCAAAAGTCACCGCTAGGGAAATATTTGGCGCTGTGTAATAGAAAATAGAGTGTTAACAAATGCAAATTAATACGGAATAAAATTTATCGTAGGTCCATTCTTCTATGAGAACATTACCCCGACAGGACCGGAAACCTGTTCTGTTACTGGAGAGAAATATCGCCACATGTTGAACAACTTTGTCATTCCGGCACTTCGGCAAAGACAATGCCTGGGGAAAATCATTTTCATGCAAGATGGAGCACCTCCACACGTTGCTGTACGGGTGCAACAGATGCTACGACAGAAATTCACAACAGAAAGAGTCATTAGCCGCTACTTTTCAGACGCATGGCCACCTCGGTCACCTGATCTTACTCCATGCGACTTCTGGCTGTGGGGTTACCTTAAGCCCAAGGTCTATCAAGGAGTGGTCCAGGACCTGGCTACGTTTAAGGATAACATATCACGGACCGTACGGGAGATTCCTGCAGACATGTTACTTTCTGTTGTGCATACTGTGCACAGAATGCAATATGTTGTCCACAACAACGGCAGCGACATTGAAACTCATTTGAATGCAAAATAAAAGGTAATTTCCGTATTGATTTGCATTTGTTAACACTCTATTTTCTATTACAGAGCGCCAAATATTCCCCTAGCGGTGACTTTTGGAACTAACTTTTTTTTTTCGCAGAATCCTTCGTTCCCTGTCTTGTTTAATCTTCCTACAAAATGTGGTGTCATTCTCGAAAATAGATCCTGCTACAGAACACTGTGAGCACTGTCAGTTTAATTATGGCCACCCGTTATATATATATATGCATGTTTTTACCACTGTTAAAAAAGAACGATACCTACAGCCGTCAAAATTTTAGCCTGCACCAGAACATATGTATGTGGAAGTCCTAAAGTTTGAATTTCGAATTTCTTAGTCCAAAGGTGCAATTTGCCCTGCAGGACAAATAATTTCGTTTTGGCATTTTGCGTTGCTTCACTACAAGCGTTGTTTCACTTTTCAAATTGTTCCCACCAAATATTGTCGCCCTGTAGTATATCTAAAAACATCAAATAATGAAGAATCTGCATAAATGTATGTATATTTCTCTCACTGTGATAAAACAACGCTACCTTAGAGCCATCGAATTTGGAATAACGTAATCCTTTTTCGAATATGGTCATCTAGAAGCCAAAATTTGGAATTTGTTTTATTATCGGTTTCATATTTTGTAAAAGTTTAGCGAATTTTTGATTAACAAACTCAAGGATTTCAAAGCGAGCAATGGCAATGGTTGTACAGGAAAAACATTTTTATCTCCAGCGCGCGAGGCTGTGTATCGGAAATTCTAAAGATATGCTTTATTTATTATTTATAAAATTACTTTGCGATACTGCTTTTGAACTGAATTTTATGGTTAGAACATGATATTTAATAAATAAAGTAACACACAAATTGTTAAAAAAAAACGCCCCTTTAAACGTAACTTAAAATCCCAAAAATTTCAATTTTTTTTTTTTAAATTTACTTTTTTTATTATTTTTTCATTTTTTATTTCTTATTTTATTAACCTTTAATGAATTTTTGACTAGCAAAATCAAGAATTTGGAAAAGAACAGAGGGAACACTGTCAGAAATAAAGCATTTTTATCCCGAGCCTCTGACGCTATTGTCATTCAAAAAACGTTAAGATCTTAGAATTTTAACTGACAAACATGGCTCTATGAAAGCAATGTGTTGCCTCGATCCGGTACAAAATACTTTTATCTTCCACTCGCCAGCGTGTATCCATTGCTTAACACCTAAGATACTTTCAAATTTGATCTGGAAGTTTATTGAGTAATAGACAAAGAAATTTCAAAGCAATAAACATAGTTCTTATGAATATATTTTTCTGCCTTTCTAAAGGGATTAATTTAAATAAACAGATATTAAAATGAGATGTCTAATAGAAATATTCCATATTTTTACATAGCTACACTAGCTGGACTTATTAAAATGAAGTAATATCTTATTAATAGTAAAACCAAACGTATATGAGTATCTTTTCTTTCATATGATAAGTATTTTAGCCGGCTTGCTGCACGAGCGATTAGTTTTAAAAAAATGATATAGCGAATATAAAAATAATGTATGACAATGCCTAACACTCTATCCGTAGTTCTAAAATATGCTATTTTCAAATATTTTGGGATTTCGCTATTGAATTGAATTTTATGGGCCGTAAGGGCAAAGAACATTATATTTAATAAATAAAGTTAACACACAAAACTTTAATAATAAAAAGACAAAAAAAAAAAAAAAAAAAATCTGATGTGTACACCACATGACTTCCTTGTACGGAATATTAAATTATACGCATTTTTTCTTGCATTTCATTTAAACTTATTGGATTGAATTAAATCTACTTCGCCGACAGCGCATAAACCGCAATAGAAAAAATGTATTCTTTAAAATTCACTCTAGTATTTGTTTACCATAGCGACACTCTGGCGCTAAATTCACTTAACAGTATTATATTTCGTTCATATTATAACTCATAATGCACAAAATTTATATCATTTAAAGAATAGAATTATCTAATCGTTGCCACATGTTCCATTCAAATACTATAATAAAGCTAGAATGATGTATAAAAGAAATTAAGCAAACAAAACAAAAAAGAAACAGTTTTTCACAGACGATTGAGTATTTCTCATTCAATTAATTCAGTTCTCACTTCGCGAGAAGGCAAAAATACATAAAATCTCAAAATATCTATATTAAAAATCACGAAGTAAATCTTAAACATTTATTTCCTCGAAAAAATTCCAGAAAGGATTAAGCATGATTTAATTCGCAATAATAAACGAAGGCATTATCTCTGTTGTCGCGAAGCTACGTTTCTCTAGATTGGCGACAAATCCACTACTCTGCTGTTTCAAATGTAAACAAGCAATGGGCGCCATCAAAAAAAATTATTAGGCTTAGCGGCACTTAAACAACTTTAAAATTGTTGATAATTCTAAAATTATTGCATACAAATTTACTAAAGGCATAAAAACCTTGATCGAAAGATAAGAACAACATAATTCAATCATTTCTAAAGCAAAAAGTGTACAATTTACAAACATATAAGAGTAAAGAAACTGAGATCACTGAGCCGGGTAACAGAGTGGATATATATATATAAATATATTTATATACATTTGGTGCGGCCGATTGCAACCAAAATACGAGGTTCACATCTACATGTTATAGCAGTCCTATAGGCAAAATTTCAACGTTCTTGAGGCTACTTGTTTTTGAGTTATACGAGATACGTACGTACGTACATACGTTCGTACGGACGCCACGAAAAATTCTCTTCAGAATTAATCTTAAAGCAGTTTTATAATTTTTTTGAAGGAAACGAGTCTTTTATTCTGTCCTTGCGTACAGATATCACGCAAAAGCATTGTTAAATTGCATTCGATAGCGGTGAAAATGGATATTTTCGTTGAAATATGCTACCTGAAACTTTTCGCAATTACAGTACTTCCTTTTTACTTCGTACAAGGAAGTAAAAACGTTTTGTAAGCCATCTTACTAAAAAAACTTTGATATCATGAACTGAGAAAAGTCTGGAGAAAATAGAAAAATAAGTATAAAAAATCTGAAGGAGTTGAGGTTTTAACGATCGCCCAAAAGGATTTGTTATGTTTTTTCATGCTCTGGCTGAGACCGTAGTCTACCAGATTGCTGTTGCACTCACTCCTGCTAGCTTTATTACTAAGTGCCATTTTCTTTGCACTTACGTCACATACAATTCAACAGCAAACTTGAAAAAAATTTAAAAACAGCATAGCAGTATGTTTAGCATTCCCGATACAGTACTTAGTTACCTCTTAGCATAATTTATATATTTTTTTCAGTCTTTTCTCAGTTCGTCATGTACAGGTCGTCATATACTGTTCATATACAGTCATATACAGTTCATATACAATCATATATACATATATATAATTCATATACAGTTTCTCAGTTCGTCATATACAGTTCATATACAGTCATATACAGTTTCTCAGTTCGTCATATAGTTCGTCATATACAGTTTCTCAGTTCGTCATATACAGTTCATATACAGTCATATACAGTTCATATACAATCATATATACAGTCATATACATATATACAGTTCATATACAGTTTCTCAGTTCGTCATGTTCAGTTCATATACAGTCATATACAGTTCATATACAATCATATATACAGTCATATACATATATACAGTTCATATACAGTTTCTCAGTTCGTCATATACAGTTCAGTTTTCTTAGTAAGATGGCTTATAAATTTATTTTACTCTTT